AACCAATTTCTGAATGCTAGAGACTTAGCTAACAAGGAGATAAAAGTCCCAAATACAGGATATGTAGTCAGATGAAGCATAGTTTGGAATCAAGTCAAGTTCTCGTCCTTGTTCATGGAAGTTTTGCTTGGGAAATTCATGTTTTAAGTGCCTTTGTTTCATGGTTTTGATTCTTGGATTTCATGCTTCTATATTCATGCCTTGGGTTCATGTTTCCTGATTTTTTGCATTATCTTTGGGAGGTTGGTCTTCTTCTGAATGCGCACAGATGACGTTGTCATCAGCATATTAGAGTTCTATAACAGATGTTGTTGTAACCTTGGTTTTGGCTTTCAGTCTGCTGAGGTTAAATAGCTTGCCATCTATCCAATAGATGATTTCCACTCTGGTGGGAAGCTTCCCATTAACAAGATGAAGTATCATAGTGATGAAGATGGAAAATAAAATTGGGGCAAAATAAGGAAGGTATGCATTGGCCTAGGAATTACGGTACTGGAAACTGGAGTCTAAATAAAAACATTTCTCGATAGCTTCGGGTTGCTGAAGGCTGCTGTCGTTTTCTCCCATGTTAGACATTTGGACATCTGATTTAGAGGCCGGAGATGAGATGCCATTGCCCACGCTTTCCGTAATTTATGGTTTCCTGGCTGGTATGTGCCCTTTTCTTGAAATGGAACTTTTCCCCTGTCTCTTGGTGTTTTATCATTTCCTTCCTGGAGGGGAATTAAATTCCCTAGGAAGACACAAGTCTGCCAGAGATGAGTGAAATATGGACATGACTCAACTGCTCCAGGTGTGTGCTTAGCCGCGTGGCTTATCTCTCATTTTTTTTCCTGGAACAATAGTTTAGAATTAAACATGGAATTGCTTAGATTCTTTCCCTAAACCTTTCTAGCCTGAGTAGCTTGTTCTGCCATATGAAATTAGCTTTTTATCAAATAAGTAGACTGGGAGAATATTGTACTCCACCAAGATGCACAGCTGATGCCTCTCAAAAGATGCCTCTTGGTCCGCAAACCATCCAATACTCTTTCTTTGTTCCCATATCTTACTTACTTACTTAGCTGATCCCTAGTATAATGGCCTTCCAAGTGTAGTGTCTTGACGGTGGATATGTAGGTGACTGTGGAGCCCTATTCCTGACCCACATGTTCTTCCATAGTGAGGGCATCAGTTTCCAGGTGGAAGGTGGTCCCGGTCAGAGTTGACTTGACTCGCCTCCTTCCTCTTGCTACATTCCACCCTTGTGCCTCTTCGTATTCCGCAGCACGGCTGGTCACAGCTGACCTCCAGTTAGAGCACTCAAGGGCCAGAGCTTCCAGTTCTAGTGAGGTGTAGTGATTTGATCATCAAGAACACCAAAATGCTCTTCCTACAGTCACCAGCCAATCCCTCTCCGATGCCAGAAATACAGCTTAATGGTGTAACGTTAGAAAATGTTGACCCTTTCCTCTCCCTTGGCAGCCATGTCTCCACAATTGTCAAGCCCCGCACATGTGTCCAGAGGAGGGCGACTAAAATGATCAAGGGTCTGGAGAACAAGCCCTATGAGGAGCGGCTTAAGGAGCTGGACATGTTTAGCCTGAAGAAGAGAAGGCTGAGAGGAGACATGATAGCCATGTATAAATATGTGAGAGGAAGCCACAGGGAGGAGGGAGCAAGCTTGTTTACTGCTTCCTTGGAGACTAGGACGCGGAACAATGGCTTCAAACTACAAGAGAGGAGATTTCCATCTGAACATGAGGAAGAACTTCCTGACTGTGAGAGCCGTTCAGCAGTGGAACTCTCTGCCCTGGAGTGTGGTGGAGGCTCCTTCTTTGGAAGCTTTTAAACAGAGGCTGGATGGCCATCTGTCAGGGGTGATTTGAATGCAATATTCCTGCTCCTTGGCAGAAAGGGGTTGGACTGGATGGCCCAGGAGTTCTCTTCCAACTCTTTGATTCTATGATTCTAATGGCCTTCAGAGCACTGTCTGAGCTCTGCAAGTGCAGCATTTCTCCGAATGAAGCAGAGAGCATTTGAGGACCGGGACATCCGTAGGGAGACCAAGGTGCTTGTTTATAAAGCTACTAGCTGTCCCCTGCCACGCGTTGCTGTGGCCCAGTCTGTTGATCTGAAAAAATAATGAGAAAGTGTTGGTTTCTAATATATGTAATGTCTTTCTGCTTGTGGGTAAACAGTATTTCTTCTTGTTTCTTTGTAAGTGTTGATGTGGAGAGTGTCTGGTTTGCCCACTCTGGAATATGCAACATACAATTGTCCTTCTTCAGGGGTCCCTTTCAAATCTAGGATACTATATCTCTCTGTGTGTGAATCATATCTATCTATATCTATGGCTGGATGGCTTTGTCAGGAGGGCTTTGATTATGTTTTCTTACCCTAGTGAAGGGAGTTGGACTGGATGGCCTTGTGTGGGAAGTTTGGCCCAATTCTGTCGTTGGTGGGGTTCAGAACACTCTTTGATTGTAGGTGAACTATAAATCCCAGTAACTACAACTCCCAAATGTCAAGGTCTATTTTCCCCAAACTCCATCTGTGTTCATATTTGGGCATATGGAATATTCGTGCCAAGTTTGGTCCAGATCCATCATTGTTTGAGTCCACAGTGCTCTCTGGATGTAGGTGAACTACAACTCCCAAACTCAAGGTCAATGCCCACCAAACCCTTCTAGTGTTTTCTGTTGGTCATGGGAGTCCTGTATGCCCCGGTTGGTTCAATTCTATCATGCTATTTGATTGTAGGTGAACTATAAATCCCAGCAACTACAACTCTCTATCTATCTATCTATCTATCTATCTATCTATCTATCTATCTATCTATCTATCTATCTATCTATCTATCTCTATCTATGGCTGGATGGCTCTTTGTCAGGAGGACTTTGATTACGTTTTCTTGCCCTGATGAAGGGAGTTGGATTGGATGGCCTTAAGTATTTTCTGTTGGTCATGGGGGTTCTGTGTGGGAAGTTTGCCCCAATTCTGTCGTTCGTGGGGTTCAGAATGCTCTTTGATTGTAGGTGAACTGTGAATCCCAGTGACTACAACTCCCAAATGTCAAGGTCTATTTCCCCAAACTCCATCTGTGTTCATATTTGGGCGTATTGAGTGCTTGTGCCAAGTTTGGCCTAGATCCATCATTGTTTGAGTCCACAGTGCTCTCTGGATGTAGGTGAACTACAACTCCCAAACTCAAGGTCAATGCCCACCAAACCCTTCCAGTATATTCTGTTGGTCATGGGAGTTCTGTGTGCCAAGTTTGGTTCAATTCCATCGTTGATGGAGTTCAGAATCTTTGATTGTAGGTGAACTATAAATCCCAGCAACTACAACTCCCAAATGACAAAATCATAATTTTTGAGTGATTGTCACTCCTTGTGTTGTGAGACGTTTTGTTGCCAAATTTGGTGTGATTTCGTTCATTGGTTCTTTTGTTTTTAAGGTACTCATTATGCACAGAGCATTTATATATATATATATACATAGATTGTCCTCCCAACCCTGCTATACGCCTGTGAGACGTGGACTGTCTACAGACGTCACATGCAACTCCTGGAACGATTCCATCAGCGCTGCCTCTGGAAAATCCTGCAAATCTCTTGGGAAGACAAGTGGACAAATGATCAGTGTGCTGGAAGAAGCAAAGACCACCAGCATTGAAGCGATGGTCCTCCACCATCAACTCCGCTGGACCGGCCACGTTGTCCGGATGCCCGACCACCGTCTCCCAAAGCAGTTGCTCTACTCCGAACTCAAGAACGGAAAATGGAATGTTGGTGGACAGGAAAAGAGATTTAAAGATGGGCTCAAAGCCAACCTTAAAAACTCTGGCATAGACACAGAGAATTGGGAAGCCCTGGCCCTTGAGCGCTCCAGCTGGAGGTCAGCTGTGATCAGCAGTGCTGTAGAAGTTGCTCTACTCCGAACTCAAGAACGGAAAATGGAATGTTGGTGGGCAGGAAAAGAGATTGAAAGATGGGCTCAAAGCCAACCTTAAAAACTCTGGCATAGACACAGAGAATTGGGAAGCCCTGGCCCTTGAGCGCTCCAGCTGGAGGTCAGCTGTGATCAGCAGTGCTGTAGAAGTTGCTGTACTCCGAACTCAAGAACGGAAAATGGAATGTTGGTGGGCAGGAAAAGAGATTGAAAGATGGGCTCAAAGCCAACCTTAAAAACTCTGGCATAGACACAGAGAATTGGGAAGCCCTGGCCCTTGAGCGCTCCAGCTGGAGGTCAGCTGTGATCAGCAGTGCTGTAGAAGTTGCTCTACTCCGAACTCAAGAACGGAAAATGGAATGTTGGTGGGCAGGAAAAGAGATTGAAAGATGGGCTCAAAGCCAACCTTAAAAACTCTGGCATAGACACAGAGAATTGGGAAGCCCTGGCCCTTGAGCGCTCCAGCTGGAGGTCAGCTGTGACCAGCAGTGCTGCAGAATTGAGGAGGCACGAACTCAAAGGAAAATGGAATGTTGGTGGGCAGGAAAAGAGATTGAAAGATGGGCTCAAAGCCAACCTTAAAAACTCTGGCATAGACACAGAGAATTGGGAAGCCCTGGCCCTTGAGCGCTCCAGCTGGAGGTCAGCTGTGATCAGCAGTGCTGTAGAAGTTGCTCTACTCCGAACTCATGAATGGAAAATGGAATGTTGGCAGGCAGGAAAAGAGATTGAAAGATGGGCTCAAAGCCAACCTTAAAAACTCTGGCATAGACAGAGAATTGGGAAGCCCTGGCCCTTGACCGCTCCAGCTGGAGGTCAGCTGTGACCAGCAGTGCTGTAGAAGTTGCTCTACTCCGAACTCAAGAACGGAAAATGGAATGTTGGTGGGCAGGAAAAGAGATTGAAAGATGGGCTCAAAGCCAACCTTAAAAACTCTGGCATAGACACTGAGAACTGGGAAGCCCTGGCCCTTGAGCGCTCCAGCTGGAGGTCAGCTGTGACCAGCAGTGCTGTAGAATTTGAAGAGGCATGAATGGAGGAAGAAAGGGAGAAACGTGGCAAGCGGAGGCGCGTCAAGCCAACCTGACTGGGACCGCCTTCCACCTGGGAACGGATGTCCTCACTACGGGAGAAGATGCAGGTCAAGAATAGGGCTCCACAGTCACCTACGGACCCACCACCAGTACACTGATCTTGGAAGACAATCCTGCTTGGACAAAGAGTAAGTAAGTAAGTAAATAAATAAGTATTAAGTAAGTGATTTGATGGGGAACCTTTGTGTGCCTCAGCCTTGTGGCAAACTTCCTCTAAACTAGGAGTGGGCAAAGTAGGGCTGACAACAATATCTTGGGAAAAAGTGGAACGTTTCAAATAGCAGTATTTTCAAATCTGTTCTTTTTCTGTCTCTCTTCTTGGTTTTGCTTCCAGGCTACAAACTGGCTGGTCGGTGCACACGTTCCAAACGGACCGACAGAGGAGGACGCAAGCGCTGAACTCAAAGGAAATGGAGATTATTTTGGAGGTCATCCATAGGGCTGAGAAACTGGACATTGTGGAGCAGCAAAGAATAGGGTACAGTTGCTTCCCTCTTTGTATATGTGTGTATTTGCCTTCAAGTTGCTCGTTGTTGAAGGCAGAGGTAGCCCTAGGTAATTTTCAATGGTAAGCAAACAGTATTTTGGTGCCCCGCTCCAACCAATCATTGATATATATTTTCTGTTCATCATGGGAGTTCTGTGTGCCATATTTGGTTCAATTACATCATTGGTGGAGTTCAGAATGCTCTTTGATTGTAGGTGAACTATACATCCCAGTAACTACAACTCGCATATGTCAAGGTCTATTTTCCCCCAACAGCGCCTCAAGAGCGCCCCTGGCAAAATCAACTGTACTGCAAATTCTTACTTTGCACAATGGGTTGAGCCGCCCCTGGTTGAAGGGCAATCCCAGTGGTTTTTGTCTGAAATATAGCCTATCCAACCTGGTAGGTAAAGGTAAATGTTGTCTCCTGAAATTAAGTCCAGTCATGTTTGACTCTGGGGTGTGGTGCTCATCTCCATTTCTAAGCCGAAGAGCCAGCGTTGTCCGTAGACACCTCCAAGGTCATGTGGCCGGCATGACTGCATGGAGCATCTGGTATACCTCTCAAAAAAGTTTTTTACCAATTTCCTCACTATCCCCCTCTTGTGGACTGATGGATCCCAACAAGGGCTTTCCTGGATCCCAGGAAATGAGAAACATTACAGGTTTACCCTGGTTAACAAAGATCTGACTTGTTTAACGATTAACTAGGTACTTCTTACTGAGGCCCACTTCTTTGACCAGTTTACTGGTGAAATCATGGCCTTTTGGTAGCAGGATGGGTGACCTGTATTCAGTTGGGGTAGAAGTGGTGAACTTCTCCCCATTCACTTTGATTTAAACCTCCTGCATGAGGGTTGAATGAAAAGTAATGCCTCCACCTTCATTACTTGGTTTGGATTTATTTTATTTATTTTTATTTCTCGTGTCAGGGCAGCCAGTCAATTATATTACATTTCTAACAGAACAAAGCAAACAAACAAACAGACAAAATACAAAATTTGTGAGTTTGGTAGTTGATTAAATGTCCTTTGACCAGTATCTGGCCACTTGGAGTGCTTCTGGTGTTGCTGCAAGAAGGTCCTCCATTGTGCATGTGGCAGGGCTCAGGTTGCATTGCAGCAGGTGGTCAGTAGTTTGCTCTTCTCCACACTCGCATGTCGCAGATTCCACTTTGTGAAGGTTGGCTCTGCATCTTGTGATGCCAGAGCGCAGTCTGTTCAGCGCCTTCCAAGTCACCCAGTCTTCTGTATGCCCAGGGGAGAGTCTCTCATTGGGTATC